TATATATGTAATAATATTTATATAATATTATTATAATATTATTATATAAAATATTATGTATAATATAGTATATTATGTAATAATATAATATTATATAGTATAAATAATAATTTATACTAATTGTATCTTCACACGGTTATTATTTTTTGCACAGGCGGAGGATGTTCGGGAAATGATACGCTCCATGAGAAAACCTATTGACGATCTGGAACACGAGGTGGTCGGAAAGACGCGAGTGTTTCTTGACGGGGATAGTAAGAATTGCAGACGGCGCGAATGCAATATGGGAAATTTGATCTGCGATGCTCTAATTGATCATGTAAGATTTTCTCAGTTGGCGAAATGTATATGTTACGATCAAAGCCCGAGGCACGAATGTTCCTAGGATTGACTGGTCAATGCGCGGATCATTGGTCGAGGTTCGAAATATCAAGGTCCGTTGTTTCGCGTACTTTTCAATGTACGCTATCACAGCAGTGATATATAGACTAGGTTGTTAGGTTTTTTCCCATCCCCTGCATTTCTTTTCTTTAAAAACCTAATCTATAACACGTCACTGCGATGACAGGTTGAAAAGTACGCAAAAAAAACCTATTTCGGACTTTGACCAATGTTTCCGCGTTGATCAGTCAATCCCAGGAACGCCCGCGTGCTTCGGGGGCTTTGACCATAACATATACCCTAATAGACACATTTGTGAAAATATTGCACAAAAATGGCATCATGAATGGCGACGATTTTGCAACAATTGCACTAAGATGATTCGCCATAACGCAACAGTTTTGTCGAAATAAAATGTTGTAAATAATATTTGTCAAAAATTGCGAAAAAGTCGTTATGCATTTTTACAGTATATACCTCCAATGGGCAAATTGTGAAAAATATTGCACAAATATGACATCGTGAGTGACGACGATTTCTCGCATTTCCTTCATATGCAATCATATTTCTACATATTTGAAACATCACATAGCTAGAATTTCTTTTCTCAATTATTGGACAATTTCTTTGTGAAATTAATTTTGCAAATATACCGCTAAGATGATTCGCCATATCGTTATTCTTTTGCCGAAATAGTATATTTAGAAAGTAATTTTGCAAACAACTACAAATATTTCAGAAAATATCAATGTTTTTGCATTTGTTTCCTAAAATATGTCTGTATAATTGCAAATTACAATTTTAGTGCAAGATTTCGTCGCATAATTTTGTAAATGGTTTCCTATCAGGGTGTATCTCATTTTGAGAAAACATTTTCTTATTAATTATTGTTTTGTCGGTATTGCAATACATATATGTATTCTTAAAAGAAAATTGATAAAGTGTATTGATACCTTGTGTATTTTTTGTCTGTAGTATGTCGTGGAAAATTTGAGCGAGAACGGATGGACGGATGTTGCTATTGCGGTACAGAATAGCGGCAGCATTAGATCGTCCATTACCAGAGCAAGAAACGATGAGGTAAATGATGATAATATATATGAATTAAAAGTTCACTTCTCCAAGCACATTCCTATCGTAATAATATCGCTTACAGGTGACCCGAAGTGATATTATAAGCGTCTTGCCTTTCGGAAATGTCGTCGTTAAGGCCTCCATGACAGGAGAGCAGATCCTCTCGATGTTAGAATGGAGTGTCCATAATCTCAACGACACAACTTCTACCGGAAATTTGTTTGGCGCTTACTTGCAATACTCAGGATTGCAGGTAAGTTGTTAAACAATATATAACTGTCTACTAATAACTATATATATTAAACTATATACTAATCGAACAAATTTGTATTCAGTTAAACAAAAACATTACGCATCTTGTTTTTTCTCCACAATACTTATTAATTATATAATAATTAATAAGTAACAGGGTGCGTAATATTTTATTCAACTGAATACAAATTTATTCGATTTATTGTATAACTTATACTCGACTTATTATATGTATATAATTATGTAATTATTATAAAATAATGATTAT